CTCAAACACACAATAAGGTATGACTGTTATACCTTGCAAGTCTATTTGTGCATTTGTTTCATCACATAGTTGACTATTGATGATCTAGATACTTATTCTTAAAAAACTTCTGAAAAAATATTTTTATTTCTATTTGTTTCTGAATAAATGTATTGCCTATTATAGTAATTTTTCATTGGATTAAAGTATTGCATGTTATAGAATGCATAATAATCAAGATGCATGTTTAAAAATTACATCAAAGCTCTGTGTTAAGTGCCTTGCTATAGATTTAATTTATTATCTAAATTGTAATATAGTTCAATTGGAATCAAATACAGTGCCTATGATTTGGTCTAACCTATCATCACACTAATCCTAAAAAGAAGCTATACTTTATGTACAACTATAACCTTATTTTGAAAAAAATAGCTCTGAAATCACAGAATTATAGGAAGAAAACACTCTGAATCTAAGTTTTTGACTTTTCAAAACATTTCTTTACCAAGAGTCTTCTGATACTAAACTAACATTGAAGTTATTTTACTGCCTAGTCACATTTTACCAGAATGTGAAACTGTGTCCCATTTATATAAATCAACCAATTTATAAGGGTTGAATGTCCATGCTTTTTCCAGAAATGACTTTCTTTACTAATATATACTGAATTTTTTTTCAAGGAATCCATAATAGAAATATCAAATGAATTCAGACCACCCTCATTGTTAGAGCTATTCTTTTTTCAACACCTTTCATTTCAAATACCAACACACATAGCTAAAGATCTCCTTTATAATCTGTCATTTTAAAAATTCGAATGCATCTTTCAGAATATTCTTCAATAGATATTCATAAAACAGGTATTAAAGATCAAGATTATGGGTAGTCTGCTTACCTTGCTAGTTTATACCCCTAAGACTTGTAATTCCTACCCAAAGTATCTGGATGGGGCCTGAGAGGTACATGGTTTTTGTTTTGTTTTATTTTTTTAACCACCTTTCCCTAGGCGAGGATGGCTACATGGTAAGGACAGTACTCCTTAAAACAAATGTAAAACAACAACTCACTAGACAGCAATGCAGAAGTTAAAAGCACTTTCATGTGCTTTAACGTTGTTAATCTATTTTCTTCTTGTTTATTTTTCTTCTTAAAAAGATAGAAGTTTTATTAAAATACATTATAAATCCATCTTATGAACATTTAATGAAAAATTCAAAGAAAAATTAGATAGCAAAATGGAAAACACAGTGATAAAGAACCAAAGGTGAGCAAGATACTGATTAGAATAGACAGGGAGAACAAGGCACAAAATTATCTGCAGATGAAAACATGAGGAGACATGATTCTCAGCTGGCAAAGGAAGGAGCCTAGGAGGAAGTAGGAGGGAAGAATGGAAGGAAGTAAAGAAGCAAGAAAGAAGGGAGACTGTTAGGCCTCAGTGATTAGTCACTATATCACCCTTCCCTTTTCTCTTCTCCCTTTGGGCTGCTCTTCAGATTATTGTCCTCATACTTAGTACCTAATCTCTGTTCCTTAATTGGCTCTCCTGGAACTTCTACCCAGAAAAGAAGTGCTTCCCTCTTACACCAGAATTATAAACTGAGTCCAGGAAATAGGGAAAAAATTCAGTATCGGCTTGAGTCCACTTTTAAGATTTTTTTTAAATAAAATATTTATGTCCTCTCACTTTTTCTACTCGAAATACCCATGGAGTATGTATATGGCAGTAGGAAATAAGGTTTTTAAGTCATTTCATGCTGTGTGACAAAGTTTTGCAACTTAAGAGTAGAATCTACAAGATTTACTCTACATTATAATTGTTATGGTCGAAATTATTATGGACCAATAGAAAAGCATTGCAAAACACAGGTGCAAATCAATTGTGCAATTTACATTTAAACAAAGTAAAAATGAATAATTGAAATTACTTCTACTGCATTATGCTTAACTCAGTATATTTGTAACATTAACATTGCACTATATAATTAATATAAAATTACTCGTATAATATTTTGCCATCTCAAGTCTTCAGATTTGGTACATATTTTATGTGCATAATGCCTTTCCTTTGGACTTCTGACATTTCTAGTGTCATGTTGTGTGGTTCAAAATGTTAGTAGTATTCAGAAATTAGACCGATTAAAACAAGAAAAAAAGAAAAAGCATGCATTCTGTGTGATCGTTTTGGCCTTGGCCAGTTTTTGGTGTCCTCATTTTTCAACTAACAGTGTATTTTTAATATCTTCAAATATTATAAATATCAAAGACAGGACAAGACAAGTCTTATTTTGCTTTTCATTTCTGGTCGTGAGAAATGACTGGTATGTGTTGATTTTTAAAAAAGAGAAAACTTTTTATGGTTTGTTCTCTCCCCAGGAAGCTAACTACAGACTAGATTCCATGTGGTGTTAGAGCCAGTGGGCTTGTTCCAGATTGACTATGCTAATTTTTGCTGCTAGATATTGATGCTCATAGGGAGGAGGAGATAGTAGGTGGTAGCGATTTAGTGGTTTTCTCTTTTTCTATATTAATTTTGTGCTATTAGTCTTGCAAAGATTTTCTTGCAAGTTTAGGACAATTTCTATTATATTGACTAGAAGATAAAAATGGAAAAAACCTGGAATTGTATTCTAAGTCATCATTAACAATATCAAATTTCCTAGTGGAGGTAATTATGTCTGATACATGTATTTAATTTAATTTAATTGTTCTATTTTATTTTATGTGGTTTGATTCGTGAAAGTTTACATTCATGCTCATTTTACTGTGTTTGAAAATAATGATTTCCATAGGAAAGATGAAAAAATGGATATCAACCATATAAATATAAACTATATAAACTGCAAGGAAATATTAGCAAGAGTCTTGATTGGTGGCAACGGTATTTTATCTGGGTTGTAGTAGGACGTCTTAGCTACTGTAGATGTGTTGGAATTGGTTTCATTCCTATCTTTGACTTTCCTTACAAGTTTTCACTGGCACATTAGTATTATCCACTTGAAAAATGGAAATATCTGAGAAAGATTCTTGATGAGCAAATTGTTTGGTCTTGCTATCTTGTCTACTTTGTATGAAAACTGTCATTTGCATGCTGGTGTCCAGAATCACACTGAACTGGTGTCTTTCCTGAGTTTCTACTTTAATGTAGTGGCCTGATTATCCCACTGCTTTCTCTGCTTGCTTTTGAACTGGGATAGAAACAAGACAATGTAATTCACTGTGAAAGATTTGAATATATTCAAATATTTAAACTATAAATTTATTTTCTGGCAACAAAATAAGGACTGGACTGTGCTTTCTTATCTCTTAACGCTATTGTGAAATTTAATTATAACTTGCTTTATTGTATTTTGAGCTTTTCTCATAAAGTTGCCCTTGATCTCTTTATCCGTTTAAAACTCCAACCAGGATATTCATGTTTCACTCAAACTTATTGGTCAAAAGTATGCCTTAAAGTAATTTAATATATTTTCTGGAGCTTTATACACTCTTTTTGATGCTGATATTTTGCAAAAAATAAGGAATATTTTAAATGAGATTAATTTGTATAATGGTTTTCTTAATCTCCCCATTTTTTTTTGTTTGTATACAAAAGTCATTCAGGTATTGTGACACTCTAAATATTTTACAGCACTCAAGTGAAGGATCGAAGTAGGGAAAAACCCTTTTTGTTGTTGCTGATTAAGTAATGGCAAATACCCAAAAAGTTCAATGTATTCAGAGCTATCTTCTGATCCACAACTTTCATACTGTGTTATGAAAGCAAACCTAAGTCCAAATTTTTTCACACATTTATATATTTATTAGACAAGGACATTAACAAATTAGGAACAAAACTTTTCCTGTAAGCTCAGTGAAAACCTTAATATTTTTTCTTTTAGATACTTTGGCCACACATTGGATGTAACATCCACTAGAGGTGGCCATATTAACCCTTTTTGAGGAAGACTCTGTGGTCCTTAGTCTGAAGCAATCAATCAGCAAAGAAATTCTCCTAATTTAATGTGTAACACAGAATTATTGGAGTTAAAACTGTGCCCTTTCTCCAATCTTTTGCATTTAGTTTGATAAAGGGTTATATGTTGATTACATGTAGATGCAACCAGATCAGAAAGACTTCGAATAAGAATTTTTGACTCCTACTGTCTATGCTTTGGCCATTTGTGACCTTTTGTGTTCCTGGCTCTCCGTTACATGTGAGAGATTTATTAATGAGAGCTGAGAGATTCATTAGTGTTCTCTCTACCCTTTGTTCTATGTTCCGTGAGCCTTAGGTATAGACGTTGCCACTTAGGCTTGGGCAATTCACAGACAGTGTCTGTGTATGATCAGTTGTAATACTCTGCAATAGTCTCCAACTGGTGCAAAAGACGCTTCTTTGGTGACTGGTGACTACGATACTTGTCTGTGAATATAAGGATGCATATTTTGCACATAGTAAGAAATTACATTAGTCTAGGGCCAGTTGATCATCATGACTTGTGAATTTCTGTACTACTCTTTGATTAAAGATTACATTAACTAATATTATATCATATGGAAAATGCCAAAGTATAATAAAATAAGCTTACATGATTCTATTCAGCATGAAAGAGTAATTCTTTGAATAATAGTCAAATATAAGAGGTAAACATTAGATACTACTTTAAGCTGTACAAGACAAGGTATTAAGAAAAAGTCTTCATTGGCAGGTAAAGGGAAACT